TTCTAACTCTCTGACCCTCTCAATTCCTCTCTATGTAAAATCAATAAAATATATTAAATTAAAAATAAAATAAAATAAAATAAATTTTAAAAAATCCTAGTTAAGCTAATAAAAATGCTTTTCCATTTATAGTTTCAGAAGACTTTCTCTCAAATGTCTATGTTTGAACCGATGACTTTTAGCTGTTGGCAGGGTTTCTAGAGAATTTCTACCACACAAAAGCTAAAATAAGCTTATCACTCTCCAATGCTTCCTACACTATCTTCTCACCACTAGTTAGCACACTCATTATACAGAGGTCTAGTTTAAAATCACACTGGGTCAGGTACTCTTACTGTAATCTAGTTCTTTCCAAGTAGCTCACAGTCCTGTTTATAATTACAAATCTGTGTGACTGTTTGATTAATGCCACTTGCCAATGAAAGGTTTAGTGTAGTGGATGGGTGACCGTGCTTGAGTCACACAAACATTGCGTGGGGACCCGAAACTAGTACTAACTGACCCCCTGGTCTGACACTTTCAGATCCTTAAGCAGCTGCTGACTTACTCAACCAGGAGTGCTTCAGCCATGCGAAGCACTGGCCTTTCTGTACATTATTTTTTTAAAGCACAACCATTTCTGCACATAGTCTATCACACCTTAAAAGTCAGATCGTTTTTGCCTTGACGATTAATACAGTTAAAATTGTTTGTTAATGAAGAAACTGGCAAACATTAATCTAAAAAAATGAAAATCAATAGGCTAGTTGCATGGTATTTCTCCTCTTTTCCTTCTGTGCCTTCTCCTATGAAATCAGGAAATGCTTCATTTTAATAGCAGTGCCATAACAAGGAATATGCTCTTGTTCTTCAAGTTAATAACCCTTTCACACTCATAACTTCAGGATTTATATTTCCAATTTTTCAGGTGAGGGAGCTTAGGTGTCAGATGTTCTACATACCTGATCAGCCACTTCAGAGCCCCCACCTTGCCCCCACATGACCTACTAGTAATTAATTCCTGTCCTGAGTTTCCATTATGATGCTGGTTACAAATGCCCTTCTGTATCAGGTGTGTTTCTGCTGTGCTATAGAGATCAGGTGTTTTCTTGTGGGAGTTCCCAATTGTCAGGCATCTTTAAGCCTTAGGAGTGGCTGGAATGGAGGCAAGTTCAATCAGAAATTTGGGTGGTGAACATGAGTTTGATGAGAGGCCTGACTTAGAAGAATTCAGGGAAGAGAAGATGAGGATTATCTGATGAGGTATCTCCTGAAAAGTCAGCATCACACATAACTGATGCCCAGAAACATAAAGTTAAATGGATGAGACACTGTTTAATGTCACTGATGACCTCTGCCAATGAGGGATCTGTCACAGGAAGATGAATGCAGTCTGCCAAGTTAGTGTTCATACGCCCCCCCCATCACTCCCTGCAGATTCAGTCTGGAGTCCCTGGGTCCATTCCCATTCAAGCTTAAGATGAACTCTAGCTTCAGAGTGCTCAAGGGCTGCAGCCCACAGTATTGGGTCACATGGGAAGACCCAGGGGGAATGGCCAGATTGCTCCAGGAAATGAAATGACTGATAACTCATAGTGTCTGTTTCCTGTCAGTGGGTGATTAATAAACTGACTATAGTTAGGCCCTGAAATACAGAGTCAATACACAGTCTATCTTGTGACTCTAGATAAATGGTGTCCCAACTTTTCTCAAAATTAGAGCTAATTACCCATACACACACATACAACCACCACCAATGTTAATATTAGCATTTATCAAGTAGTTACAGAGAGCCAGAAGACTGAGCTAAGAGCTTCATTCTTGACCTGAGGAGCTGAGAATCTAGACTTCACCTTGTACTCATATAAATGTCCTAAAGATAAGAAAAATAATAGATAATAGTTAATGAGCACCCATTTATTTTAAGTTCTTTATACTGTATATTTTATCTGATTTAATTTTCATAATAATCCTTATAATCCTTATTATACAGATAAATAAACTAAACCTAAAGGCAAATGGGTTAAATTAAACTTGCCTGAGGTCATAGAGCTAGAAAGTAGTAGAGCTAGGATTCAAATCTAAGTGGCTGGCTCCAAGATCAATTTCTTGGGTACTCCCCTGGACCAGTGATGTTCAACCTTTTCTATCTCATGGCACACATAAACTAATTACTAAAATTCTGCAGCACACCAAAAAATAGATTTTTTTGTCGAACTGACAGAAACACTAGGGATAATTTTGATTCATTCACACTGGATGGCTATTGTTGTGTTGGCTGCTGTCATGTTTTCATTTGACAGTCTAAGGGCCAAGAGGTCAGTGCCCCTGACAAAATTATCAGGTGTTGCATTGTTTGCAAAATTCTGTGGCACATAGGTTGAAATAGCCGCCCTAAACAACATAGATATAATTTAGTATATCCTAACTGTGCTAAGTTACCATACATCCATTAGTTTACTTAATGCTCACAATTAATGATTAACTTTCTTTAAAAATGCTTTCATTTGTTCCCTCCCATGTTTCTATAATATCAGTATTATTTTTATCTAATAGATGAGGAAACTGAGGCTTAAAGACACGTAGAACTTTTCTGAGGTTAATATTGCAAGATTCAATCCTTGATCAGTTTTCTCCAAGTTTGACTCCTATGTAATGGCATTATATTATAGATAAAAGGGGGACCACATGCTAAACTTGTCATGCTCAGGGGAGGCCTGCATAGTGGGCCTTAAAAACAAGATGGCCTGAACATAAAACTTCCTAACCAAAAGTGGGTCCTAGGGGTAGTCCTAGGCTTTAGCTTCCTTGACAAAGGTCAATCTTTACTTAAGTGAGCTTGTCTATTGTCTTTTGCATCTTCGATAACATATTAATACCTTTGAAATGCCAGAATAAATGACTTTCCAGACCCCTCAGAGCACAACCAGCAGAGCAGCTAACCACAGAAGTTCTTATTGTCCCCTATTTACCACCTCTATGTGCTGTGAATCTTTACTATCTTGTATCCACCAAATGTAAAAGAAGTATGTGTCTCTGTTTTGCTTTTCATCCAACCCTAGAGATTTCCCTGCTCCACTTTCTCTGGCCCCCTTAACCTAGCCCCCATGGTATTCATGTATTCTCCTTACATCTCCTCCTTTGATTCTAATGTATAAAATAAGCTGCAATACTGCCAATCTCTGGAGCACTTTTTTCAAACCATTGAGTCTTTGCTCTCTAGCCATTGTGGTCAGTTTGGCTCAAATAAACTCATAAAAATTCTCTACATGTTTGAATGTTTCTCACATTGACAATATTACATTTCAAGGGACAAAACGCCTTTAAATGACAGCCTAGACGAACAGTATCCTAATAAAAACAATAATACTGCCATTTATATAATGTTTCACTACTCACATTAGAAGTTACTCAAGTCTCACTTTAAGTCTAAGTGTTAGTAGGGCAGGTTGTAGATGTCAAAACTGAAGTTCAAAAGTTGAGGGACATGGCTGGAGTCTTACAACTCTGCCCTCACTTATTTATTGACCTTCATTTACTCACTAGTTCACGGGGGGGGGGGGGGGGGGAAGCCACACAAAACAGTGGCTTCAGTGATTGAGCATCAACCTATGAACCAGAAGATCCCGGGTTCGATTCTCAATCAGGGCACATATCTGGGTTGCAGGCTTGATCCCCAGTGTGGGGTGTACAAGAGGTGGCCGATCAATGATTCTCTCTCATGGTTGATTTTTCTATCTCTCTCTTCCTCTTCCTTCCTCTCTGTAATCAATTATAATAATATATATTTTAAACACACACACACACAGCAACACAGCATGCTGTTATGTTCTGGCATTAGAGATATAAAGATGAATAAGACCTGACTTTCTAAAATTCACAGTCACAGCAGAAGGCTGACATCCTTTTTCTCTAAATATTTTCTTACTGGTCTAGGGACCCACTTTGAAATCCTAGTGGAACCATGCCCATTTGAAGGGGCAGAAGCTCTGATTCCCCATTGGCCATAACTGACCCTTTTCCCTGATTCCTCACCTTTTATCCTTGAACTTGGTGAAGGGCTGAACTTGCCCCTTTAGGACCAAAAGTTAGGGATGTCCCTTGCAAGTGGTCTGTGCAACCTGGGGGATTAATGATTAAAACTTCCCATGTTCTTGCCGAAAACGGTTTGGCTCAGTGGATAGAGTGTCGGTCTGCGGACTGAAAGGTCCCAGGTTGAATTCTGGTCAAGGGCAGGTACACTGGTGTGGGGTGTGGGGTGTGCAGGAGGCAACTGGTCTATGTGTCTCTCTCATTGATGTCTCTATCTCTCTCCTCTCCCTTCCTCTCTGTAAAAAATCAATAAAATATATTAAAAAACAAAACAAAACTCCCCATGTTCTGAGACAATGTGGTGAATAAATAAATGACAGGTCTTGTCATTGGATCTCTTAGAAACCGCAGAAGAAAGGGTTGGGATGAGAGCGATCAAGTGTCTGGGATGAACTAGGCTGAGCCCACATCTTGGCTGAATGGGACTGTCAGGGTGGAGGAGCCCTAGCGGCTCCCCAGCGCGCGCCCAGCCTTCCCACCGCAGGTCTCCGCTGCCAGGAGGCCACCCGCTGGCGGGAAGCTGGCGGGAAGGGGCCTGGAAACCTCAGAGCCCAGCAGAGACAGAAGAGCCTTGTTCTGCAGTCCCAGGGCTTCCCCCGCCTCCTCCCAGGGGTCAGACATCCCCTCCCCACTCCCCACTGCCCTGTCTCTCCAGGGGATTCTTCCAGCCCTGGCTCTGAAAGCGTTAATCCCCGGAGCTGCTGGTACCATCCTCTATCCCCTACGCCTCCCAGCCTCCATCGCTCCCGCCCTAGGTTCCTAAAAAAGGTGCAGAGTTTTGTCCAGATAGGGTATGAATGATCAAAGCCAAGACGGTACTTCCTGTTGCAGCCCTATATATACCGTGATGCCTGCGCCGGCTGCGGAGACGCACCGAAGCGCTCGCCCCGCTGCCGCCGCCCAGCGCCTGAGGTTTCCCGGGGACCACAATGAGCAAGCTGCTGTGCTGCGCGCTGCTGGTAAGTGCCTGGCCCAGGGCAGCCGGTGCCCGAACCTTGGCACCTGGGTGGCTGCCTGCCTCCTGACTTCTGTACCTCCCCAGCGGACGGATCCCAATCTCTCCCCGGAGAGACTGAGGGTCAGTCTGGAACAGGAGACCTCTTCTAAGCTGACCATGCTTCTAGGGCGTCTCTTTACCTTGGAAAGTTCCTGCTGGGTTATGGAGAAGAGAGAGGAGCTCCAGACCTCCCGTGTTCCAATGACTTTTATCCATTTTCATTGCTGTCTTCATCTCAAATAATCAACGCCCTCATGTAGTTCATACCATCTCTGCTTATAACTTGGCCATTCTTATTATTACCAGTAGTCCCTTAGAATCAGAGTAAGCTGGGAGGATATGTCAGTCTATTGAAAACTATTATCATTAGAATAAACTTTGGATGCAGTTATATGACAGAAAGAACATTTGGCTCCTTCTCCACTTAAGCAAATGCTATGGCAAATTTTGAATAATTGGCACAAAAGTTCACACATACTTCTTAATTGTGCAATTTAACATTTTAATATAATTTTATTATAGGAAATGGCTTATTCCAGTCCTCAATTCCAATATAATGGGGGAAATATTGGTGGGCTAATGTTAATTATGTTCTAAGTATATTTAAATAGTTGAAATTAAGCACTACATAGGGCTAAAAGTTAATTTTAACATACTATTTGGAGAAAAAATTGAATTTCTGTGACTTGATTTAGCTCCTCTCAAAAAATTAGATACTTGACTAGTTAAGTTAATAAGATTTGAAGACTATTCTATGACCGTGATTCACTTCCTTTATGTCACTAAAGTGAGGAATAGATTAAGATATGAGTCAGACATTCACAAAAAGTTAGGAAAACCTATTTTTAAGCTACATATTGTTTTTGAATCTGTGTGAATGCTTGCATTTCAACATCCAACCTGCAGTGAATGGAACCCTAAGGTGTCTTCCAATTAGTTTCAGGGATACACAAATATAAACGAACAAATAAGTAAGTAAATAAATAGCAAAGTCACTACAGAAAAGGTAGGTTGGCCAGGAGTCCACATAAGGTATGCTAATTTTAGCTACTGCCATATATTTATATCCACCAATATGGATACTATGGGGAACTTTTTAAAAGTAAATATTTATTAAAATACAGCACACAGCAAGAATTATACAAGTCACAATGCCTAATGAAGTTTTTCAAAGTGAACACCTGTGAGTTAGCACCCGGATCAAGCAACACTATATTACCAGCACCCAGAAGCTTCCTGGGCTTTTTCCCCATCACTATATGTCCAAGGACTGACTAATCAATATTCTGACTTCAAACACTCATAGCTGAGTTTAGCTTGTGTGTGAACTTTACATAAATGGACTATATGCACTTTTTTTTTTTTTTAATGTCTGAAAGTTGTATTGTGAAACCATCTCCATTGGGTATACAGTAATTTGTTTATTTTTATTGCCGCATAGTATTCCATTGTATGGGCACACCACAATTGATTTTCTCATTCTACTTTTTGGTTACTAGTATAAGTAATCCTGCTATTAATATGAGAACACTTATTTTTCCTAATATCCTGTTAAAGATTTAATCAATGACATAGTCAATTTAATATCCTGTTAAAAATTTAATCAATGACATAGTCAATTACTTAAATTTCAGAATATCCACTAAATTATATCCATTTTAATTATTGTCTTATTCCAAATAATTAACATCCTCATGCATATGTTTCTATATATTTTGCTGTACCAAAAAACATGTACATACTGAACAGTGGATAGCTCAATTAATGTTTCTTTCTTTTCAGATTTAATACATTGGAATTAATAATTATTCAAAGTGTGTTCACATTTTGGGTGGGGGGACACCCCCTATATACCTACTAATGTGTTCATAAGTAATATGTAGATAAATGTAGATAATACTAATTATAGATGGTATAACATAATCAGAAGAGAAAACTTTGTGTCTTGAACATAATTAATGCCTTAAATAAAAAAAGTCTTCCCTTTCCTGTCTGTAATTTTTGAGATTGACTTTACTTTATAAATGATTGGAAATGGATAGTTGGTACTTATATCTAAAGAGCCCAATTACCCTTTTGCAAATACTGTGATGCAGTTCTAGGATCTGGAAGCATGGCAGATATTTAAGTTTGTATCAGGCATGCCACTGGCCACTAGGGACAGGGGTAAAACAAGACGGGCACCCTTTCTGTGCCCTTGCACATCACAGCCTAATGGAGAAGCAGATATTGGACAAGTAATTATACAGGCAATGAAAGTAACAAATGGGGAAGTGCTGGGCGACTTGGGAATATAAAAGATCCTGTCCTCCAGGACTTATAAGGGGAGTTGCAATACGGTGGTTATCAGGTAGACCCAAATGAAATGCCAGTACCACCATTTGATAAATTACAGTAAGCAAGTCACATCTCTTTTGAATTTTAGTTTTCACTTCTGGAAAATAAAGATGATGATAATGCATGCATGCTATATGACTACATAAAGCTGTGGGTTTATATTAATCCCAGCTTCTAGCATTCAGTGAATTGTGTATGTGAAGCTGATGATGCTCTAAGGGCCACTAACCATTACCTTGAAAGAGTAGGATGTTTCATTGTTGGAGATAAAATCAAGGTGTCCTAAAACCTAAGAAGTAGGAGAATAGAATTCTGTGGCAAAGTAGAGTTCTAGACTCCTTTATGAGAGCTGAGGGTGTGCTGGTAGGTGACATGAGGGGATGTGATCATTGGGGTTACTGCCATGGTTCTGGGCTTTCTGGAATGTGCACTAATGAAGTCAGCAGAGAACCTCTGCAAGGTGAGACAGTCACATCACCAAGTCATTTCTTTCATAGTTGCCCTGGGACCAATGGGAACTTCCCAACCTCAGCCTAGATTGTAACTGGTGGCTGAGACTTAAAAGTTAAATTTTTCCGTTGGCCCTTTCAGTGCCAAGCTCTGAATTAATGTTATGATAATAGGACATGGGGGAGGCAGGAGGAGGGGCAAGGGATAGTAGATGCCTTTTCTCAGAACAACTGCCTGATCTTTGATCCTCCTTTAGTATAATACTCTTTCAGATTTTTGGTTATTTTGTGGTTGTTTACTTTGGTTTCCTTACCCCTTCTCCCCCTCCCACATATGCACACCCCTCTGGAGTGTGTGCATGTTTCTCTAGCCTATAATTTGTTTATTTGTTTATTTTAATAGGATGTCCCCGTGAAGTTTCTAGGAGAATCTGACATATACTCAGTTCAAAACAGCCCTGATCCCTGTCCCTAGCAAACTTCCTGGCCTCTGTCTCCTAGCAACCTTCAATACAATTCCTAATTTCAATGTGGTCTTTAATTTACTTTTTAGGCTTAAACCACAGTTGTCAAATTCCATGGGTTCAGAAGAAGGCATTCTGTGCCAGATGTTTTATCCACTTTGGTCTAGAAGGGGAGCTATGGCAGTGTCTATCAAGGGAACACTAAACACACATTCAAATATTCTTACTCTCTAGTCACTGACTGACTTGCCTCCTGTGTTTTGCTTTAAGCAACCCTCATCCCCCTGCCTGCAAGTTCCCTTTTCTGAAAGCTTTCTGTGAAAAGCATTATTCCATTAGTACCTCATTAACCAACAGCATTTCCTTTGGGGGGGGGGGGGGAAGGGACTGAAAAATATATTGAGAAAAAAAGACTTATTATGTTTGTATTACTCAAGGCCTTGAATGAGGATGCTTGGCTTAACTGTCCCTTATGTTACTATAGAGCAGAGATGCCAAGTTTATCAGTGAATTTGTATATTTATGTTACCTCAGAGGGCAGTAGTTCTCAATCATATTAAACTTCTTCCAAGGACTTTTAAAGTAAATCTTTTGTAACAACTTCCTTCCTCTCCTGAAATGAAATTTAGAGTGCACATATTTTACCCATATACATAATTTTTGAAACTCACTACACCAGCATAACTACACTATAAAGGATAAATAAAAGGACGGTAATTTATAAAATAAGCTTCCTTAGAAGACACATGAAATAATGATCTGTTGGCGGCTTTATGTACAATTGCCATGAACAGACCATTAGGAACAGACTGGAGCACGTGCCTCACTGGGGCTCAAAGCCATAATCAGCGTTGGCTTCCATGCTATGGTTTTCTGACATGATGAAAAAGTCTGATAGATCCTCGATCTATCAAAATCTTGCTAAAGTTTTAAACAAAACTAAAGTAGCTTATATCGAATTTTATGTTGTTGAATTTTGGAAAAATTCAGTATTTATAAAAAGCATGCAAAAACCAGTTTGTGTCTATCTAAAATGGAAATGGAATCTAAGCTCAGTTAATGAGAAACAGGTTTGTACATAGGATATTTGAAAGTATGTGAGACATGGCTCATTTTTTAAAATTTATTTTAGAGAAATAGGAATTGGGGAAGAGATTAGATAGATAGATAGATAGATAGATAGATGATAGATAAGGAAACATCAATCTATTGTTCCTTTTATTTCCACTTATTATGTATTTGTTGGTTGATTTTTGTATGTACTCTGACTGGATCAAACCTGCAACCATAGCATATGGAGATGATGCTCTAACCAACTGAGCTACTTGCCCAGGGTAACATGGGCTTAGTCTTGATCATTCAGGACACCTAGCAAAACACAGCCCTCTAACAACAGAAATTTCCCCCCCACCCCCTCAAATTACAGAACTTTAAGGGATAGTGCCATTCCTATAGCAAACCAAGTATGAGCTCTTTGCAAATATTGATTTCCATCTTCTTTATATTTATACCATACCCCCCACACTACCCCAGGTTTTCACAGTACCTGACACTAAGTGTTTTCTGAGTCAAAGGAGCTATGGCGAGCTTTGTTAGTGTACTGTATAACCTACCAGCAGTTTCCATGGATGTTCCCACACAATTTAATTTACTGCCTGAGACTTAACATTCTAATGTTGGCTTTGATCCTTTCAAGATATAACACCCTACCC